ATGATCGAAAATTCCGCATTTTCACTGTGCTTAAGCGAACGAGAAATTTCCAAATATATCTATCTATCTTCCTTTTCAATCTATCTATCTATCTATCTATCTATCTATCTATCTATCTATCTATCTAACATTCTATTCTTTTTCTATCTATCTATCTATCTATCTATCTATCTATCTGCCATTCTCTTCCTTTTCAATCTATCTATCTATCTATCTATCTATCTATCTATCTATCTATCTGCCATTCTCTTCGTTTTCAATCTATCTATCTATCTATCTGCCATTCTCTTCCTATTCAATCTATCTATCTATCTATCTATCTATCTATCTATCTATCTATCTAACATTCTATTCTTTTTCTATCTATCTATTTATCAGTCACTCTCTTCCTTTTCAATCTATCTATCTATCTATCTATCTATCACTCTCTTCCTTTTCTATCTATCTATCTTCCTTTTCAATCTATCTTTCTATCAATCTAACATTCTATTCTTTTTCTATCTATCTATCTATCTATCTATCTATCTATCTCTTTCTTTTCTATCTATCTATCTATCTATCTATCTATCTATCTATCTATCTATCTATCTCTTCCTTTTCAATCTATCTATCTATCTATCTATCTCTTCCTTTTCAATCTATCTATCTATCTATCTATCTATCTATCACTCACTTCCTTTTCAATCTATCTATCTATCTATCTATCACTCACTTCCTTTTCAGTCTATCTATCTATCTATCTATCTATCTCATCACTTTTCAATCTATCTATTCATTCAATCTATCTATCTATCTATCTATCTATCACTCACTTCCTTTTCAATCTATCTATCTATCTATCTATCTATCTATCTATCTATCTATCTATCTATCACTCACTTCCTTTTCAATCTATCTATCTATCTATCTATCTATCTATCTATCTATCTATCTATCTATCTATCTATTCCTTTTCAATCTATCAATCAATCTATTATCAAAGCGCGTAACCGAGAGGTTAGAACCCCTGCCTCCCGACCATGAGACCTCGGTTAAAGTCTTAATATTCTCGCTTTATTTTAATGTTACCGGTCCTGGAGATCAGATCCTATCATGTGACGTATTCGGAAAGTGTTCGAAAACCGCAACATTGACTGATCCAAGCCTTGTTAGTGAGGTTGAGTTCATTACTGGAAAGTCAACGATAGTAGAGTTAGTACAAAGCCACAAGAACTTTCTGAACGTACTGGCACTGTTCAAAGTACCGATATTGCCAGATTATGTGTTCTCACCCACAAACATATTAATCAACACAAATGCTCTTGAGTCTTGAGTAGACTAATAAACCAAAATATGCCTACATTAGCTAACCGCCGTATCAGGTAGATTCGCACGGAAAAGAGTATCCTGACAATATATATATATATATATATATATATATATATATATATATATATATATATATATATATATATATTGATTAATTGATATATTTTATTGATAAAACCCTTAAGAATCAATAAGAATCGTCTGCAGTATAATATTTATAACATAGAAAAGTTGAAATTTATATCTATATCATTATATATCTATATCAATATATATCTATCTATCTATCTATCTATCTATATATATATATATATATATATATATATATATATATTGATTAATTGATATATTTTATTAATAAAAACACTCCTCAGAATCAAGGACTTATAAAGTTTGCTGCAGCATAAATTTTTAAATTTTCACATGTCAACTGAACATAGAAAAGATTATATATATATATATATATATATATATATATATATATATATATATATATAGAGATAGAATGGGGGAAGAGCCAGAGGGTGAATATATATATATATATATATATATATATATATATATATATATATATATATATATGCATAAAAAGAAACGAAACCCGCAACTTCTGAGGCATGTGGAAGGATCTTTAATACGTTGCACACCGAAAAAAAAGTGCTCAATCGACAGCAAGAGCAAGTATATGGATAGAAAGGTAAAAGGAAGATTGAAAACAGCCTAAAATGTATCGAAAACATCTATGTGCTCAATGCAAAATTCAAAATCGAATATGTAGAGCAAAGATACTTAAGAAAATGTTATATATATATATATATATATATATATATATATATATATATATATATGATTAAGGGATATTTCTTAATATATTAAAGGTTATGTTTTAATAGATACAAGTGTGTGACTAAATTTCCTTGTTTCTTTGCAAAGAATATATTTACCTCTGCTTGTAGTGATTCCTAATAAAACCAAAATTTTCCCAATGAATCAGCAACTGCGTCTCCCTTGTAAGAAAAGCGGCCGTTACGCTTGAACTTATATGTAGAATAAAGTCCTTACAAAGTTTCACCATTGTTGGCAGATCTATTATCTCAATGCGGGATTTTTAAAAGAAAAGTGATAGAAACACAAACAAAAGAAAAATAATCTAAATAAAATCGGTTTGATTTTATATTAAAAACGCATATTAAAAAAAAAAAAATCATCTTTAAGTTTACTATTCCCAGATTCGCTCGTCCGTGTTCATATGTAGTCGTATTAAGGTCAACATTTTTGATGGTTCGATGGTGTCTTAAAGGATGAAAGGCATCACACGAAATTGTGTGTGTGTTTGTGTGAGTATGTGTTTGTGTGTATGTATGTGCGTGTATTGATGTGTGTGAAAAGCTGATGTCGGTGACTATCAAATTCGCAGGCAACGTTATGTCAGGCAACATAATCAGTACCGTTTGTACTGCGATCTACAGATATATTTAATGTATGTGAAAAAAACCTGTCTTATTCTGCGTATAAATATTGTTGGTTTTGAACTAGTCGGAGCATTTCTGTCAAATTATAAATAGTCAGTTAATACGCTTTATGGCGCCATCGGTCATTTATGGCTCGTAACTTGAAGCGAGTTAAAATTGAGATTTAGTCAATGCTTCAATATTTGATAGAATTATTTAGAATGTTCGGAAAATAATTTCAGATAACAGAATCAACTTTTATCCTCCATTTTTTTTTTTAAATATTAGTTGACCTTAGCTGCACAGTATGTTATTCGTCAAGGCTACATCCAGTTTTTTAAAATTTGAGTTTTTTTTTTCGTACATCGGTTGCCACTCGAGGATGAATAATCTAGACTGTCCTACTACATGTTGACTAACCTTTATCTAAAATTCCCAAATCCGAAAACCTCCATAATCCGAATGTTTTTTCAGATGCTGACATGACTTGCCACAAATGGAAAATTTCAGGAAGCCAAGCCTACGTTGACGATCGACACCTTCGTTCGTGGATTATTTAATATGTTGTTTCGTACTTAACAAAGATATTATTCAAAATGTTAAAAAAGTCTTGCATTCATATATATTTTCAAGTAGTGATCATCTTATTTGTTCACGTACAGAAAGAACAAAACATTGTTTTTAGGTGAAATCATAATTTCACCAATCAGTGTGAGGATTACATGAATAGCGTCATTACCTGTATCTGTAAGTACACAAAATTTATTAAATTTTATATATAACTACAATAATAAGTTATAGCCATAAAAGCTGTTTGATAAAATGTAAAGGGATATCGTGTTTATGCCTGGTTTCCAGTTCCAAGCTATGCCATTTTGCAGATGCTATCTACACATTTAATAGCCTGTATTCCAACATCCGTAGAACTCCCGTGCTCAAGAATTTCGGATGAACTTTTCTCAAGTTGTTTTTACTCATAACTAGGTAAAGAGTTGGATTCATACATTTCCCATGGCTAGTAGCACGTATGTGAATGCAATGAACTCGATTGAAATTCGAACTCAGCTCTCCATTTCTTAATCCGCAATCTCTTAAGCCGCATTATTTTAATCCGCAGCTCGGTCGTGCTACATATTGCATTTAGTCAGCGTTTAAATTAGTAAAGATAGGAATCCTAACGTCTATACATTTGAAAAGCTTTGAATGCAGTTTCAGCATCTTCTTTGCAACGGGATGTCTTTTCACTTAGGAAAATTATCAAGATATTGAAGTATTGATAGACAGTGGGCGATAGATCAATGAAAATTGGTAGATGCAACAAAGGCTTACTTCCCAAGTTGTTGAACTTCTGCAGTTGTAACATGTAGAGAAGTATTTCCTTGAAACAAAATTTTGACCTCGTCGATTAACCGGCGCATTTTGCTCAGCTGAATGTGTATTTCATCCAGGTACCATAAACTTCTGATGGTCCCATTTCGGTTTTCGAAGATGTTTGGGTTCTTCAGCATGATCAAAGCCCTTGAGTCGAACGTCATAAAAGATTCATTTCTTCCCATAAGTCACTATTCCATGTAGAATCATCCGAACTTCGCAGGTTCAGTTCAACGAAAACACTTTAAAAGGTCAAACTATTTCAGTTTCACTGAGTTCATATGGAAACAATTTATCAATTTTCATGATCTTGTCAATTTTCTTGAGATGAACCGACATTGTTGAAATGCTGAAACCCATTATCTGTGACATATTTCTAACATTTTGACGTGAGTTTTGTTCGACTAATGTTGATACATACATATTAATCATAAATACAAATTTTATACATATGCATAATATGTTTAAGAATCAAGAGGTCAATGAAAATACGCCACCATGGTTTCGACCTGACGGTCTCTTCGGGCGATACTTTTAAAATGACCACTTTAACTCTTTATTTAAAAAAAGCACAAAGAACGCTACATAATTTAAAAAAATGACAAGCGAATGATGATTGAAAGATAAGACATTGAGTGCAATGGGAAGGAAAGGAGAAAAGGAGAGTGAAGGAAAGAATGGAAAAGAAGGGAATGTAAGTGTATTGTAAATATATAGAGTAAACAGGGAAAGCAAATATATAACTTAATTGTTATGGGGGAGGAGAGGCCAGGGTGTCTAAAGGGTATCTGTGGGTTTTTCTTTATTTTAGATTTTTTTTTTAACCGGCTTCCTATTCACTTAATAAAAATTGTTTTATATGAAGGCAAGGGCTTAACATTTCTCATTTTTGGTTTAAAAGATTTCTGGGGTCTGGGAATGTCATAATTGCTAATTTCTCATATTGGCATAGTTTGGACATGCGGGTTTAATTGTTATATGCTTGTAGCTTTTTTTAAAAATTGTTCACCTTACGACTGGAACCTTGTTATTTTTTTCTTTTAGTTTACCAATTGAAAAATAAAATCCCTATTTCAAACTTGAGTAAAAAAAAAAAAGACAAAAAAAAAAACGGATAAAATAAATAAGAATTGCGAATTATATTGTAATATTACATTACTTATTAAGAAATACAAAGTGGAGCCACGAAGGCGATTGGCTGTCAACAATGACAAACGTAGGTCCCCTTATATTTTCTCGGTACAGCCGAGAGAGGGGCGTATGGTTAGGGAGACGCAAGGCCTCTGTACAGGTTGGCTCAGACCTGCGCCCTGGAGAGGTTACTCTAATCTCTCCGAATTTTTATCAAAGAAAACGTTACCATTATATCATGAGTTGAACGTATGCCTAGCCCTACTAATAGTATTACTGGAACAAAAGAAGTCATTATTAATATAGGAACAAAACGGATCATTATTATAGGAAGACAAGTGATTAAGGTCGACTGCCACAGCATTAAGCACTTTAAATAACTTGGCGCATAGATAAGTTACAACAAATTTCTTATCGAAGCTAAGAAAGATTTAAACAGAGTAGTAAGCGCAAGTGTGAGAGAAGAAACTGTTAGCCTAAAACTTACGGTTACATTTAGTCATTTCAACTGTAAAATGATGAGACCATTCACTGCCATATAAGAGGACTAATATTACGTAACAGTTCAGTACACTTTCCTTTGTTTCTGCTGCTTCAAGTGTCTCTTCATCTGTGAGAAGATTGTCCAGCATTCACTGCCATATAAGAGGACTGATATTACGTAACAATCCAGTACTCTTTTCTTTGTTCCTAACGAAATTCGTCTGTTACTTAATACTTAACTCTTGGACACGTTATATCAAGGAAGATTTTTACTGTATA